TGTCATTATCATTGTGCTGCTTCTCTTAAAAATGTCACTAGCTTCATGTCAACTTCTCATCCCCTCCCTCATTTTCCTTTCAGGTAATTAATCAAAAACAGATCTTACCACAGGAAAAAATAAGAGAGGAGGGAGACAGGCATCGCTTTGCTTTCTTGCTATACCTCAAGGGATATTTCTTTACTTTTCCAAGACAAAGCAGGTCCATTCTGATCCTAAATCTAAATGTCATGCTGGTCTGAAAACAGGAAGAGAATGGCTGCAGGGTTCCTAGTTTCCTCAGCTTGTTAGTTTAAAGCTTTAAAGACTCTATATATGAAGAAATACTGTTACACTGATTCTGTTCTTATGGCTCTTGGATTAAAAGGGAAACTTACCTGAGAATTTGAAAGGAAAACAGTGGTGAGCAAAGCAGGATTTTCTGAAAGCCCTAGGTTAAGGGTCTCCAAGGGATGGATGTTCATAATAATCTTCAATACTAATCACCTTCAGAGAGTGATCCCAAATCTCACCCCTGCCACCTCTACTGCACAAGACAGGCAGGCGGGGCAACAGGAGTGAGCAACAGCAGCTGTTACAATCACGGACCGCTTCTCTGCTTGCAGAGAGCAGTCAATAGTGTGTGCTTGAGCCAATTTTACAGAACGAGTTTGTGGTGGTTTATGTGTAGTTAATACTTTGAGAGTCAGAGTAAGCTAGCTTTAATTAAGAGACAAGTAGCTAATCTACAATCATTATCCTTGGAAAAATCCCATTGATATCAAGTTTAAGGGGTTGGTGAACTTGGGAGCAACTTGAAGGCTTTCCATCACATTTTTAAAGCTAGAACACAAAGTACAATTATAAAACCACCCGACTTCCTAGTAAATTACAATAGATAATTACATTCTTTGCATTTCCCTAGCATTCTCAGGATGTTCCAAATAGAGACTAAATAAGGAAGCGCACCCTAGGGGCAAAACATATCCCAACTCTATTAGCACAAATTAAACATCCTATTTCTTGAATTGTTAGTGAAAACCATGGTTGGAGGACACGACTATCACAAAATTGGAGCTTTGAACAAACAATTTAAGAACATCCAGGGCCTTTTGTGTGATTCACAGGGAGGGATCTGCCACCTTATTCCCTAACATGAGTCTCTAATGACCACGATTTACCAGTCACTGACACGCTCATTGCCAGACCTTGTAGAACTACTGGAGCAAACATCTCTGAAATCATCCAGGCTTGCTCAGCTTTGTGCAAAGGAGGGTATTCCTCCATCAGGGCTTAAAAAGAGACAGCACTACAGTGCAGGTACCCTCTTCTCTTTCCAAGTGCTCCTGGAGGGAGTATGCAATTAATGAATGTCCTTTGAAGTAAGTTCTCAAGGAGCTTGTCTTTCTCCCCTAACTTCTTACAATAAGAAAGTTGTACATATAAGGTCTCCCGAATCCAATTACTGCCAATAGGTAATAAATCTAGGTTGGCCCCTGCTTCTCTATCCAGCCTGCAGTTTCTATGGCCCAGGGAGGTGAGCAGGCTTACAGTCTCCTGACTGTTGCAGAACTCTTCATTCACATTCTTGTACCTCTTGAGTCCCCACTCTCTGTCCATCCGCCTATCTAATGTTATCCACTGCTCAGAAACTTATCAGGAATACTGCGGAGGACACCGAAGCATCAGACTTCAAACTAACTATATGCCTTTTAAAGTTGTTCTCCGTCTGACCTATGCTTCTATTAAGCACCAAAATGAGCTCATAATACACCCTAAAGAGCAAAAAAGGACAATTGCCAATAACAAAGGTATAAATTTTAGAGACATGTCTTACTCAGCTCAGAGGATACTTATTAAATACCTACTATTTGCCAGGTACTATGATAAACCTTTATTTCGCAGTAGGTGATCAGAATTCAACTGACACGGCTGCCACCTTTCTGACCCAAAGACCAGATTTTCCTAATTCCAACAACAGTTTCCAAATCCACATTTGGAACTCTTCAGCCTTTCTGGTCCATTTCTTTTGTTTCCCAGTCCAGGTCCAAGGGTTTGAGGGCCTGTGCTCAGCATGTGTTTCTTCCAGTTCCACTCTGGGTGACAAAGACATCCTTCTATCCTCAACTCAAACACCATGCCCTCGCCAACTGCCTCTCTAGACAGATTGTTCCTGTGGAACTTTGCTGGCTCCTGCGCTATAGCACTGACTGCATTGTGCATTGTAATGAAGCTGGGTGTTTCTCCATTTTTCCAGTTAGAGATTCTTGAGAGCAGGGGTCAGGAAGGTCACATCTTACTCTTTTAGTACCCCCAATCAGTGCCTGCACATAGGAATAACTCCATCGAATATTCATTTTTCCATTAATGAAAGAAAAAACCTCTCAGGTGTCTTCTAGATCAAAATGCAGCCCATTTCAGCTTGATGAGTGCCTGTGCCATCCACATTAATACTGGCCAGGGCAGTAGCATGGTAGCCAGCTACCAGGAAAGAGTGTGAGCTAGAAGCAACCCAACTTGGGCTAATAGGGCTCTACCATTTCCTAACTGGTGATCTTGGGAATGTTACTTAAGGTTTATGAGCTTTAGTTTTTTTAAACTGTAAGATGAGAATAGTCACAGGAGGTGACCTCTAGGGTTGCTATGGAGAGTAAATAAGATAATGCACCAAAGTCCTAACATGGGGCCTTGCACAGTTCTAAACATCTGCGGACCGCCTTCTAAGGATGAGACACCGTAACCTGCTGAAAAGACAATGAACAAGACTACATCACTACGCCAAACAAGGGTAATGTAAAGCTGAGAACAGAAAGTCAGTCAGCAGTTACAAAGCAAGGAGTGCCTTAGAGGTAAGGACAGAGAGCAGTGGGTCAAAGAGTAAGAGGGGTTCTGTACTTTTGGTAATGTGCTGCTACTTCTTTCCAGATGTACTGCGATCAGTACTAAGTAAGCAAAACTGAGCTTCAGAATAGACAAGTTCAAGGCTTCAGTTGAGTTGACTGGGCCCCAGAATCACCAGTTATATGTTTTGCACAACTTGAACTCACCAGTGAGTGACACGGGGGTAATTTAGAGTGCTTTCAGATGATTTTAAAGCAATTGTCACAATGGCTGGCCTGCAAATATGAGCATTTCTGACCAGTTAAATTAGAGACATCAAGATGTTAGTGACTTGCAGGGGTACCATCGACAAGACAGGAAGAAACAGTACACTTTACCCTTTGGACCATCCAGCCTATTTTTCTTGTTAAGCAAACAGATATCACAATTTCAAGCAAGAACAATTTGCATCTTGCTTTTTAAATACTTCACAAAAAATTTCATGGTTCCTTGGAGGAATGTTATTTTCCACATCATAGATGGTAATAAGCACTATGTGAAAATTATGAATTCCAAAACAAACCTGGTCCTGAGAGAGTCTCAAAGAAGAAATGGTGCATCTCAACAAAATTAAACATATATTAGGTCGATATTTCCAAAGTTTTTGTCAGTCTCTACCAAAGTCAATTTTGCCATATCTTTCTATCACTCGTAGTATTATATTATATACTGCCTTCAAACTCAGATTTGAATAAAATCATTTTTTCATCTCTATAATAAAAGCTGACCTTCTGAGAGGCCTACCCACTCTGTTAAAAAGGGAGATACTGAAAGAGTCAAAAGCTGTTTAAGACCCTGTGTATCAAACTGAGACTTTCACCTTAAATCATCAAGAAGATCAAAAGAAATGCAAAAGGAAAGCCCTTTCAGATTATGTGAATTCGTGTCATCTACTGCTGAGCTGGCAAACCCAGAAGTACATCACCTACACTTTGGGAGACTTGCCTAGACCATGTCATCATCCTGTCACTCAGACAATGACTCCACTGGGGGAGTAAGTCTTGTTGAGGGTGAAGGAGACCTGACATGCACTAAGTCATAATAGAGAGTGAGAGGGTAAACTTCATTATCTCCCTTTTAGTTCTGTTACCCATAACCTGCCTTGTCACACACTACAGGTGTCCATGTCTCAAACTGTTGGCTTAAGTTAACTCTCTGATGAATCCACAGGTTCCATTTGCAAAAGGAACCCCCTCAAGATAATCTGATCTAGAATGAACAGATTGACAAGCAGGACTTGACACAGACTAACAGGACCTCCACTCCTTTATTAACTCCAACAATTGCCACCATAAATAGCCTTCAAGCACAGTGAGATTTATGTAAAAAATACTTCCAAATAAACATCAGCTACACACAGTTTTTAAAAATAAATACAGCAAAAAGGAAGAGTTTTATCTTATGGTAGAATACTGGCAGTCAGAAATGTTGGTAGTCAGAAAATATCCATCCTCCAACCATTTCAAAATTTAAAATAACTACACAGTGATTTGATCAAGTAGGGGACAGACAGAATCAAGAGCATAATGGATTGAGAAATTTTCTGAATCTTTCTGAAATTTTCCTGAATCTAATCATCAGAAAACATCAGATAGACCCAGATGGAGGGAGATTCTATAAAATACCCAGCCTATGGTCTTCAAAAATGTTATGAAAGGCAAGAGTGGCTGTGGGAAAATTGCAAATTAAAGGCACATGTCTATTAAAATATGCGATCCTGGACCCCACACCTTCCCTTTTCTCACCCCTCACCGCCCACGTAAAAATATACAAAGGACATTATTGGATCAGTTGACAGAAAATGGATATGGATGGCCTATTAGTGAAAGAATTGCATCAATGATAAATTTCCTGATTTTGATTATGGCAGTTAAGAGAACATCTGTTTTGTTAGGAAACAAACACAATGCATAAAGCGGGGAGCGGGCACAGCATCTCTAATTACTCTCCAATAGTTAGAAAAAAATACGTGTGCATGAAGATAGTGAGGCAGAATATGATAAATGCTAACAATCGGAGCTATGGGGGAAGGGTCATTGGGAATTCTTTTAATGAAACCAAATGGAAGAAAACCAACTACTCTCCGTTCACTGGCTGCCACAGCGTTCCCTACCCCAAACCCAGTTTCTGTGTGGACTCACCATTCTTCTGAGGATCCTCAACAGAAGCTTCTGCTCCTTCGGGTCTTCCTTGGATACCAACAAATCAGCAAAGTTCTCTGCATTTTCAGGAGACAGACTGTCTGGGTTTTCCCCTCCATATAGCTGTACCAGTATAGACAGACACTTGGATGAAACTTCAAAAATCTCTGGATCCTCATTAGGAAGCTGAAAATTAAGAGACAGGGAGATGGTATTGGTATTCTTCAAGAACTACCATAAAATTTGGCTTAAGAGATGGAATACAAAATTGCACTAATTGAATTTTTAGTGATTGTTTTCAAAATGCACACAGGACTCAGAAAAGGCTGACAGCACGAAACCCATTAGTAAAGATAGTAAAGAAAGACCTGGAACAAGCAGAGGGGCCAAACACTTTCTAGTGTCTTTGTCTAGTGAAATGTTCAATAAAAGGGAGATAACACCCCTCTCAATGTGTCCCTTTAAAAGAGACCCATGAAAAAATAGCCTTTCAAAAAATCCAAACTAGAAAATCTTTCTTGACCTAAGGAACTGTCTTCTCCCTCCTTTATGCACAGAGTACAATTCATAAATGATTTAATTTCCATTTCTGTATGGCAAAGCAGGACTCTCAAGGCTAAAACCATTCCCCACTTTAGCAATCATATGAGACTTTATGGTTGTACAGAAACGTCATGCTACCTTATCTTCATTGTTTTATTCATATTTTCTACTTTATTTAGAATTGCCAGACTTAAAAAACACCCAATTAAGTGTGAATTTCAGATAAACAATGTATAAGTATGTCCATTTGGCATCATGTATTTTTACTTGTCAACCCTAACTTCATTGCAGACATTCTCATTAGCCAACTCAAATGTCTTCTGGGACAGATAAGAACACACACACACACAGACAGACAGACACACACACACAACTTAGAAATATCGCAAAGTAAACTTACATTTGAATTTTTAAAACTTTTAAAGAATTTAAAAACACAGCTATACTCGTCTACCTCCCGTTACTCAGTCCATGCGATATAATGCATTCAAAATCTTTCTCATTTTATATTCTATTTTTAAAATATTGCCTGCTGTAGTGTTTTATCAAAATTGCATGGGAATATTTATTTTCAGAGACTATATTAACCAAGGAAGAAAAAAAAACATTTAATAATATGCTTCTTGACTTTTTTAAGTACTTGGAGAAAAGATTCTGCACTGGGAGACATCTTTACAAGATTTCACAGGAGGCCATCAATCCCTGCTCCTCTTTACTTTAATGTATCACTCCTGGCCAAATTCAGCTAAAGTGGCAACAGAAAGTATCACTAAGTTGATGAATGATGGTAATTCCAGATGACAATCGCCCAAGGAAACACTGCTGCCCACGGCCTTGACATAGCCCCCTTCCCTTGAGGAGGAAGGCTACACTTCACTCTCATTGACCTCCAGGCACATGCTATTCTTAAATGTGGGAATTTAAGGGGAAGAAAACCTGCCACTACCATTATTGATTTAGTTGTAAGTCTATAGCTCAGAGATCAGAGTTGGGTTTTTTTAAAAATCTGAAAACAAGTTGAAAGTCACTGGTAGGTCAAATCAGCCTTGACTCCTGGGCCTCCTGTACTGGCCCTGACTAACTATTATAATGTACTTCACATTTTTCTTGTCAACAACTACAGGATGGGAAAACACAGCTCTGAAAAACCCCATAACCAGTCAAAATAGAAGGAGGTTAAAACAATTCTACTGAAGCAGAAAAGTTGCAGAAACTGTAGAGGGTAAAAATGTCAACACTGGCACTATAGTGCTAAATTTTGTGCAAAACTTTGCCTTGATCATGTCTGTATCTCTCTACCTTACACAGCCAGGTTGATTCTATTGCCTTACATGAGAGAAGAACAGAATTATGATCAAAATTATAGTACTTAATATTTGTATACTAATTTAGAAGAATTTAGGTCTTACTGCCAGGTAACTAGCAAGTTTCTCCTTTAATTTAGGTCATATTTCAAAATGTTCAATAGTTATCATATGACTTATATTGTCTGGTTACATTTATTTTTTTACTTCTTTGACTAAAGGTTTTAGTCACTTCTCTGAAAGGGATTCCTTCTATTTCTATTACAGTAACACCAGTTTAACGAAAGCTATTGGGTTTCTTGTGTATTTATATACCCCTAGCATACTGAAATTCGCTTTTTGAGCACCAATAAATCTATTTCAATCTCTTTTTTTCTAGGTATAAAAAAATCTCATCAACTGCAAATAGTGATCTTTTATTTCTCTTGTCTTACAGTAGCATCTATACCACCCCCCTCTTTTTACCGATTTTACTTGTAGTTGTAGAAAGCATTTCTCCGTATTCAATTTTGGTGAAATTAATGTTAACCATTAATTTCTAGGACATAATGTTAAAAATGTTTGGAAGATTCCCTCGATCTTAAGTTTTAAAAAATGAAAAATGGCAAGTTGAACTTTTTAGCATCAATTATAATGACTATATTTTTCTCCTCAATTTCTTAAAATATTAACTAGGCTTTTGTAGTGCTTGAATTATTCTTGGATTCCCAGATCGCACTCTATTTGGTTATACAGGCCCTTTAATATACTGCTATATTACCTATTTTCTTAATATAACTGAAAGTCACTTTCAATCATTCCATGCTATCTTAAAATAGGTTAAAGCATTCGACTTACACATTTATGAAAATGAAGCAGGAAGCTTTATGTCTTTTCTATACTCTGATCCATTGAAGTAGCAAGGTAGCTATCTACTCCTGTAAAACTTAGAATTCATTCATAAAATGACTTAGACCTGCAATATTTTAATAACAGATCTTATAGATATAAAATATCACATTACTATAATCCAGTTGTCTAGGGTTTTTTTGTTTTGCATGTTCTTAACTTTTTTTTTCTTTTGATAGTAACTAATGAAATTCTAGTATTTACCCTTCACACTGGCAGCCCTTCTGGTTTGTAAAGGAAATCTTAGCAGGATAATAAAGAGAATAATGCTCCCTCCTTCCCTATAGCTGCAAAAAAAAGCAGATTCTATTCTGTGTCATAAAATAGACCTTAAAAACATCATTTCTACTAAAGAAGTCTTGTAAGGTATCTTGAAGGCAAAGGGCGTGATTATGGCCTGTGAAATCAATGTTTAACTTTTAAAACATATAAAGAGTTCTGGGGCCTCCCTGGTGGCCTACGGGTTAAGTCTCAGCACTATCACCACTAAGGCCTGAGTTCAATCCCTGGCCAGGGAGCTGACCCACATATGGTGCAGCCAACCTCTTCTGCCTTGCCCACAGCTCCCCTGCTTTAGTGGTGTATTTCAGTAGATCCACCTGCTCTGCTCCCCACTCTTTCTCTGGTGAATCCTCTCACCCCTCACTAACCCCCTCACCTCTGGCCTACACCCCCAGTTCTTCTATGCAAAAATAAAATTAATTAATTAAAACATAAAGAAAACATAAATAGTTCTGATTGGTTGTCTTACCTAACAACCTTTGCTTTGGTGACAACACTGATATTACATCATTGAATTCCCACATGGTAAGCAGGCCTATAAGAATTCTTTGCTCATTTGGCATGTCTCTCTCTTTTCCACATACACATTGTGGATTCTTATTTAAACAGAGAGACTAAAAGACTTACAGATTAAAAGACATCATTAGATGATCGAATTTTAAAACTTTTCACACTTGGTATTTTCATCTATTCTGATGTCAAATTTGATAGTTTATAATTTCTAGAAAATCATCACCTCCCTATATTTCCAAAGTTACTGCTTTAATGTTAAACATATTTAACATCTGGGTGGCTGTATTTCCTTTGTCTTTCCTAATGCTATAGCCACAGAATCCAAATTAAAACAGCAGAATATCATTTTCACCTCTCAAATGGTCAAAAACATTTCAGAAAGACTCAGAAGATGCAATGTTGGTGAAGATATAGGGAAAGGGTACATTTATACAGCTTTTCATAGGATGTAAATTGCTAATATGTCTTTTGGGAAGTTACATGGCTATGTCTTATTAAAATTTAAAAGCCCATTTAACTATGTTACTTCTCAAAAATGCAGTAGTACAAAGTCATCTATTTTTATCATGCTTATAGCAAATGTGTAGAAACAATTTGAATGGCCATCCATCGGGAAGTGCTGAATTGAATAAATAACAGCACATTCATTTTATGAAACACGATGCAGAATTAAAAAGAATGAGACTGGTATAGAAGTACTGACTTGTAGTGAGGCCCATGTTGAGATGACTAAAAAAAAATTACAAAATATTTTATGGTCTAATTTTAGAAATGAAAGCAACAACAATAAGAAAAGAAGATCAATTACACAAGTGCATTTTACTTGGCTCCCTGGTAATCCAAGTAAAAAGAATGTCAAAAATAAATCATGATGGGCCTTTCTCCCCGGTGGCGCAGCGGTTGAGCGCTGGGTTGCGAAGCTGCCCGCGGCCTCTGCGGCGCCGGTTCGATCCCCGGCTGCTCCCAGGCCACCAGAGGAGGGTCCCACATGGCGCGCAGACCTCTCCTGCCGCCCGCTGCTCCCCTCAGCAGTGTACTTCGGTCCTTCTGCCTGCTCTGCTCCCCGCTCTGGCTCTGGTGAATTCTCTCACCCTCCCGCGCTTCTGACTGTACCCAGTGCATGTATAAAACAAAACAAGCAAGCAAGCAAACAAACAAACAAATAAATAAAACATGCCTCTATTTAAAATAAATAAATAAATAAATAAATAAATCATGATTACATGGGGGTAGAGATCACGCCACAGTACAGGGAGGAAGAGGCTTCAATTTTGCTTTAACCACTCCTATATTGTTTGCGTTGTAATATGCTTCCGTACCTCTATTACCAAAAATTCAAATATTTGAAATAAATCTGCCTTCATTACCCCTAAAATGAAAAAAAAAGTGGGGGAGATTGTTCTGGCACCCTATATATTATCTTTAGGTACTGACATGACTCAAAGGCAAGACTCACTAAAACCAATGATAATGGTCAGACAGGAGGGAAGGGCTAAGGCTGCCTAGACCAGCTCCAGTGACAGCTGAGTTTTGTATGACCAGCAAATAATGGGCTCAGAAAGAAACCCAGAAATGCCACTATTTGGTTATAAGATTCAAAAATGTAATAAAGAATGTATTTTAGAAATCTTAAAATTACTACTTGCTGAATCGAGGATATTGGAAAATATCTCAAATCTTTCACACATAAGGAATCCCTCTCTGAAGAGCTCATATCTAAATAATACAGGTTGAAGATAGAGAACATATGCCAAAAGAAAAACACGAGATATCACATTTATCCCTCAAATAGGTTATTTCCATTAAAATAGCTATTTTATAATAAAATTCCAAGTCTAATAAAATTTAAAAACCACTTCCTAACATAAAAACTTATCAAACCAGGCAGTTTTTACAACTGGAAGAAGATTCTCCATTACAAATTGGTTAAACATAGTTATTGCTTTATTATCCAGACAGCATGAATTCTGTAAGGTAAAGCCTCAGATTTATACACTAATTTAGGTTCATTTATCTAAAGGGACTGATCCAGAATTAAAATTAAAATGAGATTGCTTGTCTAAAGGTTTACACTGTATGACTTTGCTGCCCCCAAAGTGCCTTTAGTGGGCGCTCTGCCCCCTGCATCTTCATCACCTGCGGTCCTGCAGGAGGCCAACCACTGGGGCTGAAGTGGCAGTTTTCCCACCAATGGAACCACTAGGGCAGCTAATTTTAGAGCTACAATGAAATTGTTGGAAATACCCCCGGGTACATTATTTCAGCACATTAATGAGGCTGTTCACAAGGGGAGTTTATTACAATGAGAGATAGATGTTTATTAGATCAGTAATATGATTACAGAACATGCTGTATGGGAAGGACCTCTGGGAGCCGTAGGCAGGATAATTTCGCAGGCATTAAACAAAACAAAAAAGCCAAACATCATTATCAAAACTGCTAACTTCACAGCATCACAGTTATGGTTAAATATCCACTCTGTTGAATATCCACATTATTTTCCTGCTTCAAAAATGACGCATAGGCATGTTTTCTGAATTGACATGCATTTTTTTTCTGGGTGGCAAAATAAAACAGAGCAAACTCGGGCATTTTGCTCATTTTAAATATGACCCTCTTCTAAAGACACGTGGGAATTGTATTCTGAGACTGTGGCTGTAGTGGGTTTTTCAATGCATGCCACTGTGCTACTTAGTAATAAAGATAGTATCTCCATCACAGCCATACAACAAAGAGATAAATGCAAACAGGGTAGGGTGGGGAAGGGGAAGATTGTATGTGCCAAGTGCTATGCTAAGTTCTTCACCCATTGCTCCTTCAATTCTCCCAACAACCCTGTTAGATTCTCCTTTTTTCTTTGATATGAAAATGGAGACTAACTAATGTTCCCATAGTCACTTCACTAATAACAAATGAAGCCAACTTAACTACAGTTAAATGATCAAGACAAACATGCTAATTAACCCAGAAACGATGCTGAAACTTCACTCAATGAAATAAACACAAGGCATCAAAGATAGACAAGTCCTTGAGTTATCAGTGTGGCAAAATGCTACTATTTCATAAAACTCAGTTATCAGCAAGGTTGTGGTCAAACAGGCTTCACTTTTAGTGAGAACGAAAACTAGTCCTCTGCCTTTTGGGGAGGGTAACTGACAATGTGCATCAAGATAAAAATGTATAACCCTTTTTCTAGTATTGTAGACAGGATTCTTCTGACAAAGTCAGTAAGACAGCTACAGATATAGAGAAAGAAATTATTATGTAGGGTTGCCTCTCAGGATGATGGAGGATGAGAAATCTCACAATCTGCCACCTGCAAGCTGGAGGCCAGGAAAGCGGTGGCACAGTTCTAATCCAAACCCTGAAAACCAGGGGAGCCAATGGGTAAATCAATCCAAGTGTGAAGACTCGAGAATGAGCAACTCCAGTGTATGAGGAAGGGAGAGACAGATGATCCAACTCAAGCACAGAGCAAATTCACCCTGTATCAGTCTTCTTGTTCCAATGAGCCTTTCAGTGCACTGGATGATGCCCACCCCCACTGCTGAAAATTATCTTTTTTCCTCAGTCTACAGAGTCAAGTAGTAATATCTTCCAGAAATACCCTTACAGATAAACCAAGAAATAGTATTTACCAGATGTTTGGGCATCCCTTAGCCAGCCAAGATGACATGCAAAATCAACCATCACACTTAATAATTCTATTTCTAGTAGTTTATTGTATGATTATACAAGTTATACAAGAACTAGTAAACATAGATATATCGAATGAGGATATTTAAAATGCAGTTCTATTTGTCAGAAAAACCATCCCCCAACACACACACACACACACACACACACACACACACTCTGAATGTCCATGCTTAGGGGAGCTAATTAACTTCATTAAGGTATATTCATAGAGTACCACAGTTATCAAAAAGAACTTAATTATATGTGCTGACATGGAAATTTTACCAAAATAAATTGAAAATCTAGTTAGATATTTTCAAGGAAATCAAGTTAAAGATCAATGTGTATACTATGCATTGCATAAAAAGGGGCATGTCATTTTTTCATTCACTTTTAAACACATACATCACGTGTATGTATAAAAAGTATACATTTTTCTACTGTGGGTCTAGACAAAGATGCTTACTTTTCATTTAAGCTTTCTTAAGAGTTTGAATTACTTCTAATGTGTGTAGTTACATACAAAAATTTTATGATTTCAAGATGATACTAACAGAACCTCTTTCATCAGACATACAAATATTGGGAGAAAAATGTAAAGTTTTGAATATCGTGAAGACACAGCAAAATCTCAGAAGAGAGCTTTTCTGCCCACACATCAGAATGACTCATTTTTCATTTTCACTTTTTGATATTACATATGTGCAGTCCTTGTGTGAAAATGTTTTATTACTGTTTTCTATTTTAGTATTTCACAGTTGCATACCATTAATGCTCCAAGTGTTTTAGTTTGAACTGACTTTTAAACAATAACCTATAGAAAAAAAGGAGTTTAGTTCTTAAATATTTATTTTTTTCCCTCAGTGATAAATTAAGAGAAACTGATCACTGGATTAAACATTTAATTTCCTGTATTTGCAGTGTTTCTGCATGACGGATTTTATAATTACCTTGGTCTCCATATTCCAAACAGCTTTGGGGTTTCATTTACACAAAATGTGTTGCCTATTTTTGCCTCAAGAGTATCTTTAATTATGAGCTAAACCATAATTATGAAAAAAGTTATGAGTTGGAAATTTTACTCTTCAATTCACACTGACTTAAAAAAGAAAGATAGGAAAAGCTTAACTGAACAGTTTACACTTAAATAACATCTCTGGGAAATGAGTGGCTGCCCACTGCACGTGAGAGAACGCAGTCCCACAGGCCAGCTCCTGAGGGCAGGACAATCTCAGGACATGGATTCCACATGCAAAGTCTTTGGAGATTATCACTATTGGTTATGAATATAGCTTAATCCTCAGGATAAGAGAAATAATGAAAATCTAACAACTAATAATCACAGGGGATCCAATCAAAGTGAAAATGAAAATACCTAATAGAAAACATACAGACATGCTTCAAAGTTCAAAGTAACAATATGCTTATTTCTAAGAAGTATGCTATTGAGGTCAAATTAATCAAGGCTGATGTTTCCTGATTCATTTTCCCTGATTATATAGGTATAGCTCCAAATATGTCCAAAACTGCTTAATGTAATTGTATGAGAATAAACTTTAACTTTGAACTGAAAGATTGGTACAATTACTTTTTGGCCCAAGTGATACTTAAAGAGCAGGAAAACAGAAATGCATTCACCCAATAATCCCTTAAGAATATTTTTGGTTGGTATTTTTTTTAAATACTATACCATTTTAAACAGATGCAAGGTATTATTTAAATTTCTCATAATTTCTTTATGTCTTGAATCAATTTTTAAATAGAGTTTGAAGAGGCCAGTAGAGCCTTCTGGTTAACCACTGGCATGTAGGCAGGTAATGGTCATTTTAACTGCCTGGTGAATCTTTCAAACAAACTGGAAGAAAAAAAATGCCTTTATGCACTGTGTCAATGGCTGCCATAGTTACTGGGTAAGGACTTGTTAGGGGTCATTTGCCCATAATAGCCTGCTTGAAAGAGGGACCAGGCAGCCATGCTCTTTGACCGTAGAGAGCAGACTCAGGCTGCCGCTGGTGACCTGTCTTCCGCAGCAGAGGGACACACCCAACTTCCTCAGGAAGGGGGCCAAGAATGATGGACGATTAACAACTGTCACAACAGACTCAAAAAACTCACCTGCATTTTTCCTAAAAGAAACTACTAACTTCTCATTCCATAACTGTAGCACAGGGACAAAGAATAGAACTCATTGAGTCTGAAACAGAACAACAATGTATTTTTAAGTTCAATATACCGTTTTATGCTTTGGTAAGGGAAATCTAGTTGCTTATTTTGGAGGGCCAAAATGTAGTTTATTATAGTACTACAGAGGCAATTTATTGCCACAGGAAATCCAACCCATTGTTCTTAGTCTCCACTCAGCAGAATAGTACGTTGACCTTTACAGGCAGAACTGAAACAGTCAAGTTTGGATAGCATTACTGTGTCAAACTGAAGAGTTGCAGAGCTGGTGAACATTTATGAAATTGTTCTACTCTGCTGGCCACTGGCAGAAAGGATGGAAGAGGTGTGTGCTTCTGAACCATCCAAGAAGTTACCTACTGGCTTTGACTCTGGGATTTCAAATTCTAAATCACTGAAAATGACGGTGCGTTAGGAAAAACGCTCCAGATTCCGAAGTGCAAATCACAATCCAGATACTCTCTCCTCTGATGGAGAACATGTTAAGTTCTCTCTAAAGGGGAAAGGTGTGGCGGTGAGTAGCTTGCCTAGCTTGGCTTCCCAGCCTTACACAGTACAACGTGGGCAGAGAAAGACCCACCAGGCCACTGAAACAGCACGACAGCTGCCTTGAGGCCAGCCCCCGGTCATCCTTCAATGGATAAAGGTTTCTGAGACTGAGGCTGAACATCCTTTGTCCTGTACCCTCTCAGGATCACCCTTGCCCCACCTCATCAATTCTAAACCCTCCTATCACCCACATCCCCAATCTAAACAGAAAGGTTCCAAAAATCCTCACTGGCTTTCCAGAAACGTATGCACATCAGTGTGTTAACTGTCCCAGGGAGGCAATCTAAGCCTAACATTCTTATTTTCTAATTTTAATTAAAGGAATTTTAAGTAACATCAAGCAGATGGAATGATATTTTGAAGGGGTGTGAGGGAGAGATTCTGTTTATTTTTATAAGCCCTTTTGGTCCTTTTAGAATTCCTGAGCTGAGGACCTGGAGGAAAAGAAAGCCAGAGAGAGAAATTACAGAAAATCATTGCAAAGAGGACTTGGGGTTTGAGACTGGGGAATGGTGGCAGGGGAGGATAGTGAGGAGGGGACAGTGGGAGATAAGGCAGGTTCTTGAAAGCCTAAAATGGAGATCATCACCAAATGCAATGACTAGCAGGGGAATTCAATCAGGGAGAAATAAAAACAGAGCAACATCAAAATTATTTAACAGTTTTGGGCCTCCCCAGTGGCACAGTGAGTTGAGCACCATGCTGTGAAGCTGTCCGCAGCCTCTGCAGCACAGGTTCAATTCCCAGCCTGCCAGGGAGAAACCCACATGGCGCAGCAGACCTCTCCTGCCTCACCCACTGCTCCCCTCAGCAGTGTCTTTGGTCCGTCTGCCTGCTCTGCTCCCTGCTCTGTCTCTGTTGAATTCTCTCACCCTCCCATGCCTCTGACCTGTACCCCAGTTCTTATATAAATCTTTTAAAAAATTATTTAACAGTTTTCTTGAAATGTAACTGACATACAATTAACTGCACTCCTTAAAGACATTGAACATACCCAAGACCCTCAAACACATCTATTCATGAATACCTCACTATTTTGATTATAGTTGCTTCATTATCAGACTTAAATCAGGAAGTGGTTTACCCTCCAATTTTGTTCTTTTTCAAGGTCATTTTGGCTATATTAAGGTTCTTTGTACTTTGTATATAATCTGTAGAACCACATGATCAATTTCCAATGACAACAACAAAAAAGTCTGCCGGGGGTTTAATTTGGGATTGCATTAAGTTTACAAGTCAAATTGAAAAAAACCTGGCATCTTAACAATATTCAGTCTTCCTACACATGAGTAATGTATCCCTCTTCATTTTATTTAGAAGTTCTTTCATTTCTTTCAGCATTATTTTGTGGTTTTCACGTCTGTCAGTTTTATTACTACAGATTTCATTTTCTTTGCTATTGTAAATGGCATTATTTTTATTGCAATTGCCCATTGCCAGGAATAAATTAGGTTTTAGTATATTGATCTTGATTCCTGCAAAATTGCTAAACTTTTATAATTTCCAGTAGCTACTTACAGATTGCATTGGATTTTCAACAAAGAAAATAATGTCATCTGGGAATAAAGATAGTTTTACTTCTTCCTTCCCAATTTGGATATTTCTTTTTCTTGACTGATTGCACCAACCGGAACCTCTAATACAATAGCAAATGGAAGTGGAGAGGAAGAAAGCATTAAGCCTTTCACCATTATGTATGTTAAACTTATATTTCTACATATGACTAACATATTCAACATCACTTACAATATTCCCTAAGTGTTGGTTTTGAATTTTTATCAAGTACATTTTATGCACATTCTGACATGATTATACTTTGTTTTGAACCAATCCTTGCATTATAGGACATTATGCGATTCACCTGCTGAGTGCTTGATATTTTTGTTTCCCTAAAAAGAGTTGTGAGGTACCTTTCTCAACCGTTAGGCAGTTAAGTAATTTAGGAACAATTTGATCCTTTAAAGTCACAGGGCAAGTAGAGAGCTCCTAGGGTCAGAATAGAACAGGAAAAACCTTGGAAGAATAAGGAAGGCTCCAGAAATAAGGGTAACAACTTCCAAAGAGGACTAATTAAATACCCCAGGACTACGGGAAACAGGACATTCTGGAATAGGTAAAGAAAAAGGACTCTAAGATAAGGACTGGGACACAAGACTTCATTCTGGGCACAGAGACATTAAAGCAGAGTGAGTGACGCCACAGAGAACTAACCAATCACACAGAGAGTGAAGGGGCTTTAGAATAATTAGGGAAAGAAGGTATATTCCCTGAGGCAGGACTCCATTTGGCTTCCTTGCCCCTTCCTGGCCTGGTTCTACTGGCCTGGGAGTCCCACTTTATTTCTGTTTTTTTTTTTTTCCTTTTTAATAAACTTTTTCTTGTATCTATTTCTCTAAACAAATTTGTCTTTTTGCTTGCTTGCCTGAGCATCAGTGAAGTTCCTGCTGTGGCTTTTTGAGACACTAACCCATGATGGTCTAGTGGCCGGGACTTGGTGCTGCCACCACAGCTTGCATCCATTCCTGGCTGGGAGACTAGACCTGAAAACCTGAAATTATGGTATCACTTTCAGATCTTGTTTTTATGATTTGCTAGGTGGGAATGGAAGAGAACTCAGTTAAGGAACAATTATTGCCCAGCACTGAGGCAGAAGCTTACTGGGTATTCTCCCCAATATGCCACCCATAAGAAATTTTCCAGTCTATACAGGTGGAAATGAACTTGTATTAACTGGGACTATTTTTTAATCCTATGGATTGTTGTGTCACAATCATGTGTTCTTAATACTTCAGGAAGGTCCACTATAGATGGTATGGGATTTTCTCCCTGTGTAACTCTTAGTCCTCTTACTCTGGCCATATTCTCAGCTGCATCTCAACTCAGAGAATCTAAAGCACAAATCTGATAGCAGCATACTTTTGCCTAAAACCCTCCATGGCTCCCCATGATAGCTTTAGAGTGGATACCAAGTACAGCCTTGTTGCATAATCCAGTTAAAAAGAGGAGCTGTCAGTTTTTTGTAGATTCCAAGACAAAACCCAAGAGCTTGCTCTCTGTGAAATAGAAAGCTTGAAGAGTTGAGAGACAGGGATGTGGCTGAGCTACATGACAGGTTTACAGGTTTATAACTGAAAAATAATGGGCAGGAGGTACAGGGGCAGGCTCCAGAGATGACCAAGATGAGGTGGTTGCCTGGCTGGTGTGGATATTGAAATACAAGAGCTACAGCCTTGGGCAATGAGGTAATCTTTCAGCACACTGGGGGAAATCAACTTGGGGAGGTGGAAAGGAGTTTTTTGTACTGAAAGAGAGGTGACACCAGGGACTCTGATTTTTTCCTTTTTTTAAAGTCGGTAACTTTTAGCTTCTGCAGTAATTTTGAACTTCAGAGTTGCAGCCAGTAGCAAAACATGTTCGCCCCACCTCCCCTAACAGCAGCATTTTATCGAATCATAATATAGTTACTAAGAAATAGAAATTAACATTGATACTTACTTATTAACTAATCTATAGACCTCACTCAAATCTTGTATCCTTTTCTACTTATGTCCTTTTCTGTTCCAGGATCCAAACTAGGGAGCTGAGGTGCCTTGGCCTCCTCCAATTTGGGATAATCCATCTAGTCTGTCTTTGTTTTTCTAATGACCCAGACATGTATTTGGAATACCTTGGTTTGCCTGATGTTTCCTCTTGATTAAATTTACATTATGCTATTTTTTTTTTCTATTTGGCCAGGAAAACCTTGTACCCTTATCAGCAGATTATGCCAAGAGTAAAGAAAGTCAGTATGTTATCATATTTTCATCACTGATAATGTTCACCTTGATAACTTGGTTAGGGTGGTATCTATTAGTTTTATCTACTATTAAGTCATCATTTATTCCTTCATAATCACTAAGTATCTTGTGGAGACAGACTTCGAAGTTCTGTTTCTTATTTCCCATTAAACTTTTACCCATTAATTTTGTCATGGATTGAGGTGGCCAGATTTCATTTGACTTAGAAAAATAGTGACATTTGTTACAAATAACTAAGACTCATACTTAGTAAAAAGGCTTACATATTTTCTGTCCCTGACAATATTTCAAGGTACATTTCTTAGCATACCCTGTGCTCCAATCTCACCATAATCTCCCATGTTTCATGCCTATGACTGTGTCCTCCATCTGGGATGCTCAGCCTTCCGGTCCTTCTCTGCCTGCCACCATGCTGCACCTGCTTGGCTTACTATCATTCATCTGCAAACACAATTCCAAATGCGCTGAGGGATTCAGAGAAGATGGCCGAATAAGAAGCAACAAGAATCTGTGTCCCCACTAAGGTAACAATTGCATTGTCAGAATTTGCCTGATGTAACTATTTGGAACTCTGTAGCCCAATGAAGGTGTGCAACTGCCAGGGAAAAGCTTGGACAATGAATTGTAGTTAATTTGGGTCAATTTAACTCTGAGCACAGTAGCAGCAACCAATGCCCAACTCCTAGCCCCAGAGCAGGTGGCTGTGCAAGTGTCCCTGGAGCAGCCTGCTCAGAATTCACAAGAGCCAGGATAGGCCAAAAGGCTCCTATTCCTCCACATGTTGAGAATGTGTTTTCTGATTGCTGATTGTTGCTTCTCATCACAAAGGTGCAGACAAAAAGGCAGATGGTCACTGGATGGAAAGGATTTAATGGGAGAGCACATAAAAATCAATCAATATAATACACCATCCAAAGTGATCTAAAGATTCAGTCAAGCCCTATGAAAATCTCCATGATGTTCCTTTTTTTCCAGAAATAGAAAGCCTCATCTTAAAATTTATATGGAATTTCAAGGGACCGTGAATAGAAAAAACAATCTTGAAAAATAACAATGAAGCTGAAAGAGTCTCACTTCCTGATTTCCAAAGTATGATAAAACTACCTTAGTCAAAGCAGTGGTCATGCTCCTCCCTAAGTCAGAATGAACTTCTAGCATTTTGTTCTTTGCACTTTCGATGTTGTAAAAGATCTCCCAGAATTCCTTTTATGTGAGGGTTTTGTGTTGTTTTGTGTTGTTTGTTTCGTTTTGCTTTTGTCTGCATCACTTTCTCTGGGACTTCATTCTTTCCTTTAAAACCACTGTTATTGGGCCTCCCCTGGTGGCACAGGCGGTTGAGCGACGCACTGTGAAACTGTCCGCAGCCTCTGCAGCCAGGTTCGATCCCTGGCCGGCCGGTTCTATACCACATGGCGCAGCAGACCTCTCCTGTCTCGCCTGCTGCTCCCCTCAGCAGTGTATTTTGTCAGTCTGCCTGCTCAGTTCCCCACTCTCTCTGGTGAATCCTCTCAACCTCCCGCGCATCTGGCCTGTACCCTGGTTCTTGTATAAATAAATAAACCTTAAAAAATAAAATAAAATAAAACCACTGTTATCATAGGTAAATAATCTCACCTCCACTGAGTTCCTCTGCAGAGCCACCATCTCCCCAGTACCCCTGACAACATTCCTAATGTCTGCTGTTTTTCTACAATTCCCTTCACTTTAGAATCACATTTCACTTCCGGCCTCATCACTTTTAGTTTCTTTGTTGCACTCTCATCTTTGTTAGCCAATTCCCTCTTATAATTATCCATTTTCATAAAATGCTACATGGATTTACCATTGGGAGACAAGGAGGAACCATAATCAAATGCTTTGCTGTCTGTGCGTGAACTAAATAATAGATATAGAGGGACCAACTGCTGACAAATTTTGAAATAAGTGCATTATTAGTCACTGATGATGAGGCACATCTACTGTTTACACCATGATTTGTTTGTACCTCATGCAATTACTTCATGAAATTACTCACAGTGAATACAACGCCAGAACTGCAAATTAACCCAGAGTCTGAAGGGACTAGTATTATTTAGTTGAATTTTGTCAGAGCTATGTAAAGCAAGAATTGTCTATGTGTGGATGTATATCAGAATATATATTAATTATGAAATTATTCTAATTTTAAATATATGTGCATCTAAATTGTATATATATTCAATTTATACACTTTTTTGCTTTAATACATTTTAAATTAGCATATTACAATAAACATATATTCTGGTATTTAACTTATATTACAAATGTTTTCCCACATTGTTAAATATGCCTAGGAAATGTGATTTTTAATAGCATCACAGAATTCTACCTTAAGATGCAATTTAATTTCCAATTGAGGAACATATAGGTTATCATTGAAGTACTTGATCCTAAAGATAATGCTGTGAGACTATTTGTTTTAAAAATTCTTTCTGTGCTGCTAATTATTTCCTACCTACAAATTTAATTCACTGACTTTATTCTTGGCAGGATCCATATTTCAGAGTTCCACGTGCACTTCTTTCTTCTGTCCCTCCTCTAACTCCCACTTCCTCTTTTTCTTCTATCAGTCTGTCCCACTGTCCTGGTCTAATTTTATGAAACAACTGATGCACATTCATAGTAATGCATTACTACTTGATTGCAGTTTTGGAAAGAGGGTGATAAGAAAGTGGGAGTTTGGATCATCAGTGGGTGAGAACGATATTCTAGAGCTGCTTTCTGGCACGACTCCTGTCCCAGCATGAGTGAATGCTTCCCTATTCGACTTAGAAGAGCTTTGGTCATTAACAAAGTGCTATTAAAAAAACATACCACCATAGGGCCTCCCAGGTGGTATAATGGGTTGAACGCCGTGCTGCAAAACTGTCCGTAGCCTCTGCAGCATGGGTTTGATTCCCGGCCAGGGAGATACCCAAATGGCGCGGCAGACCTCTCCTGCCTCACTCGCTGCTCCCCTCAGCAGTGTCTTTGGTCCGTCTGCCTGTTGTGCTCCCTGTTCTGTCTCTGGTGAATTCTCTCACCCTCCCACGCCTCTAACCTGTACCTCAGTTCTTGTATAAATACATAAATCTAAAAAAAAAAAAATAAATCTAAAAAAAAAAATACCGCTATATTACAATCACTTTAAGACAAAGATATAAGAAGTAATGGAAGAAAATAGGACCTGCAGTTCTGGGAACTTTCTTTCCTACAGCTATTTATCCAAACATAACACCACAGTCCCAGAGCCTCTATTGTTAGAAAGGGGTGACACTGCTGTGACTTCTACCTTGGGGGCTTCTATGCTCTGTGCAGGGATCCTAAAGCTGGGGGCTTAACCACTGCAGTTACTATCAATACAAGTACAGCAATTTCCAGACAGACAAGTTTGAGGGAACTGCTACCTTCTCTTTTGTATCTTTTCTGGTCAAAGTTAGGGCAGGAGTTGTTTTAGGAACACTGGCTTCCCAATTGAAGGGCAGGGCAAACCCTGCGAGGAGAGGTCAACTTCTAAAAGGAAATCCACATAATGTGATTTTAAAACAAGCAAGCTGGTGATCCATCAGCAAAGCCGCACTCCCGGAGGGCCTGGCTTCGCAGGGCAGGGCAGCAGGGGAGCACACACACACTGCGTGCATTTGTACTGGAATCCATTCCTTTCCAGACCTAGTCTAGGCTGTTACATTGAAGAAAGGTAGAAAAGATGCCACATTTATCAGCAATTTGCTTCTTTCACTATACTAGGCCCCAACATGAAGGAAATGAGTATCGTTCCTGAATTTTGAGGACTTACATAGTCTTAGTGGAGAAGGGGGCTGAGACATAAATGAGTTATTTCAGCACCATTTCATAAAATGTGATAGGACTATGGAAGGTCGGGCTGCCCTTGGAGCTGGGAGTGAGGCGCCTCATCTAGTCTTAGCGGGTCTAAGTGGGCTTCCTGAAAGAAGTGACACCTAAGCCAAGACCTAGAACTGAGAAAGCAACAGACAAGTGGAAAGCAGAAGGGCATGTTTTGGCAGTGGCAAGGAAAATCATACATGCTTAAAGAACCGAAGGAAGGTGGGGGTGCTGAACAAAGAGTAGGACACAGAAAATCAAGAGATGGGGCTGAAGAAAATGGCAAGAAAATGGCACATATTAAATTGTTTCCTAAACATATTTAGAAGGTTGGATTTATCCAAGAGTGGTGGAAACCACTGGAAAGTGATGAAACGAATTTTGCATTTTTGAAAGGGTACTCAGCCTCCACTATGACTATGAGAAGACAATGGAAGGGGCACCTCCAGGCAGAAATCTCACATAGACAGATGGTTACCATGACCCTGCAGGCACAAGATGATGGTGGTGGCCTTCACGACAGCGCCCAGGGAGAGGAGGAGAGTTACAGTATGTGACAAGTTTTGGTGGCCCAATAGGGATGGGACAGGATGGAAAGGGAATAGGAGTGGTAGGGTGATGCCCACATTCTTGGCATGGGCAATTTAGGGCAAGATAGTTTCATTTACTGACCAACAGAACACAAGCATGTGTTTTAGCCCTGTTGAGTCTGAGGTGTTTATGGTACATCCAGTAGAAATGTCCAGAAAAGACACAGCCATGGCTAGTGGGGGAAAGGGTTACCCCATTAGCATCTCTAAGGTGACCCCATTAGCATCTCAGAGCAGCTGCTTAGCACAGAGCTAATAGAATGCGCAAGCTCTTGGGTTTGACTTGCAGGTAGACAACATAGAACCTCTGGATGCCATCACATACACAACAATCACCAAGAAGCACTACTTAACTCATGCCTCTGACTATGATGGCAAGAGGCAAGGGACAGAACAATCATGCCCAACTCTGTATTTAAAAAGTAAGATTTTGTCCAGTTATTTCTTGAGAGGAAAGAATTAGAAAATGAACAGAATTGGCTTTTCCTACACTTTGTGGGACACAATTTAGTTTTAAAATTGAAACTGTGATCTCAGAAACATGAACTGATAAATGTCATGCTGACATAGGATAAAATGTTACTGGCAGAATGATTAACTGTTCAAGCAAGAGAACCAGAAGGAATTCATTATCTGATGCCAGGTGAGGACTGAGAGCTCAACTAGACCATAGAGGGATATGTTTTCAATGGTGAAAAGTCATGGTGAATACAAAAAATATTAGCCAGGCTAAAAAAAGGAAAATTAGAGAGAAGACTGATCTCTTTTTCCCCTGGACTTTAAACAGATTTGTTTCAATTAGATAAATTAAAAAACTCATCGCCATCCATTAGATAGACCCCTTCTACCTTTGCTTCCCCCCCTCTCCCCCCTCTGATAACTGCAGCTCTGTTGTCAAATGGACTTTAACTTTTTTTTTTTTTAAATTGAGGTAACAACCTCAATTGTTTACAACCTTGTTTGTGTTTTAGAAGTATAGGTTTTTCCCCTTCAGGTGTTGTTACACCACCTCCCCACCACCCAAGCTCTCATAATCTTCCAACACAGTCCTTAGTGCTCCCTCCCCACTTTATTTTCAACCCCCCCTCCCACCTCTGGTAGTCTCACTTGTACAGATTTC